AACGCCGCATCAAAGCTCCGGCCGCGCGTTTGGTCATCCCTGTTCACACCCGCTGCTGGAGAGGCTGGGCGAGCGAGGCAGCAGCTCGGTGGGGTTTAAGCACGTGCAAGGATCCTGCTTGTCCTTCAGAAGTGCAACTGGTAGCTCTGCAAGCACTGAAGTCACAATTTGGCTGGAATTTAAATGTAAGAGCAAGCTACTAAATGCCATGCTTGCTGCTCAGGCACTTTTAAGTGCCTACATCTCCTGTAAAAAAAAAGAAAGAGAAAGCGTATGTGGCACGCCTGACCTGCTGACAGGCAAGGCCAAGACTCACCTGACGCTCGTGACGTGCTTGATAGAAGAGGCAAGAACTTCTGCCCCAGCAAAACTGTTTGCAAGCTGCATTTATTTGCTCTGATCTTGGGCAGGTGATGCTGAAGGGCTGGAGGTGCCCTCACCTTTCAGAGAAGCCCCAGCCGTGTGTCTTGGAGCTCTACAGAGAGCTGCCTGTAGTGGGCACCTAGAAAAGTCTCACTCCAGAGGAAAAGCCTGTAATGATCTTTCCTCATGAGACTTTCCAGCCTCCAGCAATTTGAGGCTCAAGGACTTCCGGAGATGGAAGTGATGTTCCTATAATTAATAGTCCTTGATGGATTTTTTTTTCTTCCACGAGTTTATCCTCGTAAACTTCTCCACAGTATGCAACAGCTAAAGCTTTCCTTGGTTGAACTGAATGTTGGGTGAAGACAAATCTCTTTTCCGTTCTTCTGCCCCTGCCCCATGCTAGTCTCATTCGATGACCTTTTTTCTTCTGCCTCTGAAGCCAGACAGAGTGTCTGAATTTTTAACTGACAAGCACCAGCACGCTGACCTGAGAGCACTGCGGAGGGCTGCCGAGATCCTTCACTCCTGCCTAGCTGAAACAGCCCCCCGTTGCTGCAGAGCCATGCATCGGGGTTTTTTCCTCTCCTTGCCTTAAAAAGAAGCCTGTCCAGGACCGCAGGGCCCAGTCACACCACCGCCAGGCTTCGCTCTAGAAACGATGCCCCACGGCCGTGCCTGGAGAGATCTGATGCTGGCAGGGCTGCCAGCCACGATACCATACCCGAACCTCCCCTCATTGGCAGGGGGCGGACCCACCCCTGCAGGTTGCGGCAGCCTCTGCTCCGATCAGGTCCCAACGCAGCATCTCCAGACCTTCTGCCCCTCGGCTGGGCCGTGCGAGAGGCTGAGCAGCCGGGGGAAACCCCGTCCCTCCATAGCCTGCCTGAGGTGCGCCCATCTTGAACAGCAGCACAGCAACTTCTAGACTCGGGCCCCTTCTTGTTGAGGTGCTGTTAGCAGCTGTGTTTTCCAGGCAGTGTCAGATTCTGCTGATAATGGGCTTTTTTCTACCCTTATGCCACCCTGCCATGCTACAGCAGCACCTTTGGAGAAATCAATTCCTCTCCATGTGCAAAAATGGGGCATTTTTCTGCTAGGGGAAATGGGAGGCATTGATGTCAGCGTGCAGGAGGGATCTGCTGGGGGATTGCCTGTGGAAGCTTTGTAGGTGCCCCCGGGACGAGGCTGCC